CTAAGAAGTTAAAACCACTTCAGCATTGAGTTCGATCCCTGCCCCAGAGGTGACCCACATGGTGCTGCAGACCTTTCCTGACCTGCCTGCTGATCCCCTCAGCAGTGTATTTCAGTAGATCTTCCTGCTCTGCTCCCCACTCTGTCTCTGGTGAATCCTCTCATTACCTCTGCACCTCTGGCCTGTACCCCAGTTCTGTATGCATAAATAAATAAATCTTTAAGAAAAAAGAAAGAAAGAAAGAAAAAGGGATATGTGAACTGGACTACAAAGCATGAGTAGGAGTTTAAAGGATATGTTGGGTGAGTAAAATGTAGACCTTTCTCTTAACTCTCTAAGAAGTCTGACTCCTTTCCTGGCCACCTCTTTCCTCTCAAGTGTGGGTTCCCCAGATTTAGGCTCAATTCTCCTCTTCTCCCCCTCCTCTCCCAGAACAAACTCATCTGCGTCATGGTTGTATCTCAGGCAGTAATAGTTAACATTCACTGTGTTTCCCATAAGTAAGACACTGTGCTAAATACTTTACCAGCACTCTCTAATTTGACATTCACCGTGACCCTCTGAGGCAGGTATCAGAATCCTCACTTTGTAAAGAGGGTTGGTGACTTGCAGTGTCACATAAGCTGTTTTCAGCAACAGGTACCTAATAACCAAATAGAAACCTAGAAGAAGGTGACACCTGTTGTTTAATTCAGCAGCTTGGGGAAGTCAGACTCTGAAACAGCTCCTCTTCCCTCATGGTTCCTCATGGAGGGGATGGCTGCTCCCTCCACATCCAAAGGCAGGTTGGGAGGAGGTTTCTCTGCGGGCCATCTCTCTTTTTACTAGAGAGGAAAGTCTACCATCAGAGCCCCAGGAAAAGTCCCTCCGCATCCTCTTCTTTCTCTTCCACCCTCTGTAACTCCTCCCGCTGTAACTCCTGCCAGACTGCTCCTCTCTCAGTGCCGTACCAGTCAGGGTGCTTGGTGTCTAACCTAACAATGAAGGAATTTACTGAATAATGAGGGTGCTCACAATTTCTACACATGAACAGGAACCGGAAACAATTAAGAATAAGAACACACACAGACACAAAACAGGAAAAGCCTGGCTGGACAACCACTACTGCTCATTGGCCATTCGCTGCTATGGACTCTTCCTTCCACGAACAGGCCCTGCCACTTTGCCTCTGCCCCTCGAAGGGCAAAGTCCTGGGCAGGGACACCTTGCTGGTCAAGCCCGGTCTTGTGCTCACTCCCCAGTTGCCAGGATGGAGAATGAGCTTCTGCCCTTTCAGTTTCCGTAGGCTGAGAGGTGGCTCTGCTTTCCCAAGCCCTGTGAGGTCTAAGATATCCAGGACATACGCTCCTCAGTGCTCCTCTGCTGAGAACACGGTTCCCCTCAACTTGCCCACTGTCTCCTGCTGCAAGGTCTTGGGACACTGTCCCTTTGTCTGGAATACGCTTCCCTCTCTTGTCTAGTCAAACCCTCCTCCTCTTTGAGGCTTCCTCCCTTACCTTTCCCTTAAGGGTGAGCACCCTCCACTGCGTCCTCACTGCAGAGGGTGCTGGACTGTTGTCCCACTGGTCTGTTTTTTCTGATTTGACTGCATATTCTGGGAGGGTGGAGACCCTGCCCAGATCACTACCACCTAGCCCATCACTGGGCACGGGATTTTTATCCCAAAATGGGTCTTATGGGATAAAATCAAGGTATCAGCAGAAGGTGTGTCCCAGTGGGAGGTCCCAGATGACAGCCTGATTTATTGCCTTTCCAATGCAGAGGCTGCCACCATCCCTGGACTTGAGGCTCCCAGCCAGCAGTTGCCCCTATCTGGCCCCTGTTTGTGTCACCAAACAGCCTTTTCTGGCTCCCCTGCTTTCTGCTCACCCTCTGTGAGGACCTTGTGGTATTATTGGACCCATCCAGATAATCCAGGATAATCATTCCATCTCAAAACCCTTAATTTCATCACATGTGCAAAGTCCCTTTGGCTATGCAAGGAAATAGGGTCACAAGTTCTGGGGGGTTGGGATGCTAACATCTTGAGGGATGTAATTCTACCTACCATAAAAGACTAATAGACATATTTCTTCATTTTGGGGCCTCCCTGGTGGTGCAGATATTAAACTTAACAAGTTATGGCCAGCCACTGCAGCATGAGTTCAATCCCCAGCCAGGGAGCTGACCCACATGGCTCAGCAGACCTCTCCTGTCTCACCCACTGCTCCCCTCAGCAGTGTATTTCAGTCAATCCACCTGTTCTGCTCCCCACTTTGTCTCTGGTGAATCCTCTCACCCCCCCCACACACACACCTCTGGCCTAGCCCCCAGTTGTTGTATACATAAATAAATAAATAATAAATCTTAAAAAACAATTTCTTAGTTTGTGTTACATTCATCTCTTTCTCTCCTCTCCTATCCTGCAAATGATCTTTATAAATGGTGAATCTGGCCACAACCATCCTATTTAAGAAACTTCTTGTTTCCTCAAAGCCCCTTGAATAAAACCTGTAGCACAGTTAACCCTCTCCTCTTTTCTCTTCTCTCTCCTTCCCCACCCCCCCAACCCCCAACCTTCCACACATGCAACCTCTGATAGTTTGCTCAGAATGTTCTCTCAGTCTGCTAGCTGCTGGGGAGTGAACACATGACCAGATTTGACCAGTGGGGTGTCCCTACCCAGGACTTTGACCTTTGAGAGACAGGAAAAGTGGCAGGCCTATTCTTGGAAGGGAGGCCAGCAGTCAGTAGTGGTTGTCTGATCAGGCTTTTCCTGTGCTGTGTCAGTGTCTCACTCTTAACTCTCACTCTTCTTATTCGTGTTTGGAATTCTTGATCATCCCAAAGCCAAAACCTCTGCAATCTTCAAAGTCCTTCTTTCACGGATAGCCCCTCCGTGGAACCCACTACTCTGAGAGCACCATGGCTGCAGAACCTGTCCAGCTTGTCAGCAGGCTGCTCTGGGCACAGATCTGAGCTCAAATCTCTGCTCAGCCACGGGCTAGTCCTGTGATCTTGGGCAAGCTACTTAATTTACCTGTGCTTTTACGTTTCCTCTTTTCAAAAAATGCACATAATAAAGTAGCTGCCTTATATATAGCTTGCTGTGAGAATTAAATGTAAAGGGCTTAGCATAGTACTGGCGTACTATACCCCAAATAGGGAAATGATAGAAGTCAGTAACTCTGTTAGCATGCCTCAAAGCCGAGGACATTTTAAAAAATTGAATAGGTAAACCTTACGTCCTGTGTATTTATGTGTATCTTTGTTGTTTTCCAGGGGCTGAGGGGGGAAAGCCTCACTGAGATAACTGTTGGTGGAAGGGGAAGTTTGCCCCTATATCCCTGAGCACTCTGGCTACAGCAAATTTTGATGATCTCTAGTTTTCTTGGACTGAAATGAATTTTGGCTGGACAGACTCTCCCAACCACCCAAGAACTTTGTGCTTTAGGGAAGCCACCTTGTTATCCACTATCTTAATTGTGGATCCACCAAAGATGGAGGCTTTGAGCTGGCCACTGCATATCAGCAGGACTCAGGTCACTGCATCCTGAAAACAATTCCTTCCTCCTCTAAGGGGGAGGGAGACAATAAACAGGCACTTTGTAGAAGTCCAGTGTGGGGATGACTTACATTAACTTCGTTTTTGTGGTAAACTAGAAGAGACCAAGTCAAGGAAAAGCAAATTCAATACTAGAGTGTAGAAAATGAGCTGTTGATGGGGAAACATAATTGTTTTGTAATCACACTCTGGCTAAAGGTGCCAAAGGGCCTTGGAGCTAGGACTGCCAGGCCCTCAGGGGTTGCTTCATAGTGGGTAAAAGTTGCACAAACCAAAACATCTGTAGAAATCATTTCCCTGTCCAATAAAGGGTGAATTCCTTTGAGAGTAAACTACCTTTTCCTGACTTAAAACGGTTTTTTTCTCATTATAAAAATAATGTGTTTGCATAGAATTCATTATAGAATTTTTTGCAATTCTATACAGTAAGCACAAAAAAAGAGGGAGAAATTCCTGTAATCACACTTCACAGAGATCATCACTGTTCCCAAAAATTGGGGTTCTGGGCCCTCCCTGGTGGCACAATGGGGTAAAGCATAGCACTACACAGCTAGCCACAGGCGTTTGGGCATGAGCTGACCCACATGGCGCAGCAGACTTCTCCTATCTCCCTGCTGCTCCCCTCAGCAGTGTATTTCCTCAATCTACCTGTTCTGCTCCCCACTCTGTCTCTGGTGAATCCTCTCACTACCCTTGCACCTCTAGCCTGTACCCCAGTTCTATATGCATAAATAAATGAATCATTGAGGGAAAAAATTAACAAAAACAAAGTTGGGATTCTGTTGCTGCTGTAATTCTGTATCCTGGTTGATGATCATTTCACTATGTGATTAAATATCTTCTACATTTGGGGAGGAGGGTAGATTTCCAGGCTACAAATTTGTTGCAATTTATTTATCCAATCTTTTATTGTTGAATATTTAAGCTATTGCCTTTGATTTCTGGCTGGTTTGTTTTGGACTTTGAGGTTGTTTATATGTGCTACAATTAATATCTTTGTTACACAAACCTACACATACCCTTGACAAGTTCTTTGAACTCCTGGAAGTAGAGTTGCTGGACCAGGGGACATCTGACAAACATTGCTAAACTGTCTCCTAAGAGCGCTTTTACTAACTTATACTCCCACGGGCAATTTCAGCGAACTTCACCAGAGGAGCTGTCAAAATCCAACGAGAACTCCCAGCCCAACCTCTAGCCTTGCTTCACCTTTTCCCGCCCACTGGAAACACCCGCCGCGAGCCCCAACCCCCTCGAGCCACAATGGCCCGCCCCTTCCTTACTCACACATCCATTCTGTCCAATCAAAAGCAGGTTTCCCCAGTATCACTCTATGATTGGTAAATGGAAATGTCCATCGCGCTTCGGGGCGGGCGGAACGGACTGATGGACGTGGCGGTGGGCCAGTGTGAGCGGTGAGTGGGACGTGCGTGGCGTGCGTGGCGCGAGGGCCTGGAAGCCCTGGACCTGCGAGGTGTGCTGGCGGGTTGGCAGTGAGAGAATTGTGCGGCCATGGCTCCCAACGCGCCCGCGCCGGAACCAACCGGAGAGTGTCCCAAAGGCATCCGGGCGGTGCTCCTGGGCCCGCCGGGGGCCGGCAAGGGCACACAGGTGAGCCGCAGGGCTGGACTTGACGGCAGAACCCATAGAAGTCCAAGGTCAGGGCGGCCAAAGGTCCCGATCGCCCCCGAGTGGGGCCGCGGACTGGGGCCTGGGGCCTGGGGGAGCCCTGTCCAGAGCCTGGGGGCTGGTAAAGCGTGTGGGGAGGGTCAGAATGGTCGGGGGAGTCAGGTTGGGGTTAGAATCCGTGAGGGATCCATCTTAAGGTGTCGTGTTAGGGAATCGGAGCACCGACTGGACCCACCCTTCGGGGGTTGGAGGGACAGAGGGCTTGAGGGGCAGAGTCCTGAGCTGAAGCATCTGGATCACAGGCGGCGTGGAGGCAGGGACCTGAGAATTCCCTGCGATTTGGGCGTTGAATTGTCCAAAACGAGGCCCACGTTCCAGGCACTCGGAGTAGGGGGACGTTACTCATTGTGACAAACGACTGAGGGTAGAGGAGCATCTCCAGCACGTGGGGGCAGAGTGGGAGCTGGTGTGTGCTGGGCTGGACTATTGCTGAGAGGCGGGAGGTAGGGCCTGCGTGCGCCAGTTATGTTGGGAGGGGGCATGAAAGAGGGTACCACGATTTACAGGTAGGAAAACCGGTCCAGAGAGGTCAAGATTGGTTATGTGGCGCCTGGTATGGCAAATGCTTTGGGACTCCAGGTGATTGAGTCTGAAGTTTCCTAGCAAGGCAGCCGGGCCTCACCTAGTATCCGGGGCATAATGGGCTCAGAGACCACAGTTGGGATGTTTAGGATTTGGAAGCCCATATGTTAGTTTATTGATGTCCCTTTATGGCCTGGGGCCCTGCACCCCTACCTCCCCTTCTCCCGCCACCCCCAGGTCTCTTGCTTGTTAGGTTCTAAAGAGGGAATTTGCTGCTAGTGTGAACTCCCAAGCCATTGGGGTTTTGTGGACTGCTGTGCTCACTCTTCTCATCCTAGCACTGGCAAAAATTGAAAAGTCATAGCAAGTCTGTTTTGTCTCACTCTTGAGCCGCCACCATATTACTGGACATTTGATGGGGTTACTGGAAAGGGATGAATGATACAGATCAGTGTGGGTAATGAAGAGGAGGAAGGTCTAAGAGATCCAGTTCATTTCTGTGACTTTGTTTTTTGTCTGTGGGCACTAGGCCAAGAGACTACTCTCCCTTTTTCTGTAGAGCTTGCGCTCGTTGATCCATGAAGTCACCACCTAATTCCATTGTCCTCTGTAAGGTTGAAGTCACCCTCTTTTCATCTTGCCACCCTCAGTTCAGTAATCTGCTGACTAGGAATGTTCAATCCCAGACTATAGACTTTTGCTGTGAGTAATCGAATATGGACACAGTAACTCAAACACATTGATTTTTTTACATTCATACTGAAGTTAACAGTTTCTGTGGTTGTGAAATGAACAACCCATCCCAGTGCCAAGATAGGTATGTAGAGTTTAACGAGCTATATAACTTTTAAACTTCAGTATTCTCATGTGAATAATGGGGATAATGCCGACATTACTCATTCAACATTTCATGAACACCAAACAGTGAACATAGAGCACTGAACAAGACTAATAAAGTCCTTGCCCATGTAGATGAAAAAGTTCAAAGGATATTGAGGGATTGTGTTATGAATAGCTATAAAGCACCTATTAATACAGAGGCGACAGCCTAGCACCTAGTAGTCATTGTTGGCTCCCTTACCTTAGTAGCACATCTCTCTTCCTCCAGATGTATTTCAGTATGAAGGGTTATAGGTTCAGGTTATAGGTTATTAGTTTCAGAAAATTAATATTATGGGCAAAAATGAGAGTTGATCAGAAAAGGCTTTGTAGTAGCAGAAGAGATATGATTGGAGCTGAAACTTGAGGAAAGACTAAGATTTACATAAGCCAGTCAGCCGCCACCCCTCCCCTCCATAATTGGTGCAGTAGGAATACTGGAGGTGTAGTTTTAGAGTTAAACATAATTTTTTAAAAAAGGTTCATAAATCAGGGTGGCAGCCTATAGCACTTAGCCTGCAGACACATTCTAACTTTTCATTATGAAGAGTTTTGAGCTCACAAAAGAAGACCAATGTATCCATTATTCAGTCCCCAAAACTGGTAGCCATTCCTTCCCATCCCTTCACAAATGACTCCAAAACAACTCTCAGAGAAATTCTAACATTTCATTTGGAAATACGTCAGTGTATAGTCTCTGAAAGATCAGTTCTTTTTAGTGAATAGGCACAATGTCCCCTAAAAATTATCAATGTTTATTAGTAGTTGGTGTTAATTTCACATTTCCATTTGTCTCACACGTGTGATTAGTTTATAGGTCCCTTTCTTTTTTTGTTAATTGCAGTCTTTGGTTTGGTTGGGTAAAATTAAGTGGGCTTGTTCTGGGAGAATACCTCATTCTGGGAATATTTTTTTAATTGTATCCCCCTGGTGCACATCATGCCTTCCTTTTTCCTCTCTGTTTCCTGTAAATTCATAATTTGATCATACACTCACTCAGACCTGAGTTCAGGTTTGGGGCTGGACTGCATCTCAGTGATGCTAGGCTGTCCATTAGAAGCACATCATGTCTGCTTGTCTGTGGTGGTCAGCCCCTTGGTCCAGGAATTTGCTGCTTTGGGTGGCAAAATGGTAGGGATCTAATTATGTCATAACTTTTTCATTTATTAGCTGAAATAGTCCTATAAAGAGAAGCTTCTTGCCTGTTATTTGGTATGGTTTGTAATGAAAAGGCAGAGCTGACCAAACAGCATTTCATTTGTGAAATTTCACATATCCAGAGGTGGACCTCCCTGGTGTTGGAAGCTATTAAGTCTCAGCACTGTGGAGCTCTCCGCAGTCACTGCAGCACAAGTTCGACCCCCAGCCAGGGAGCTGCCCACATGGCACAGCAGACCTCTCCTGACCTGCCTGCTGCTCCCCTCCGCAGTGTATTTCAGTCAATCTGCGTGCCCTGCTCCCCAATCTCTCTCTGGGGAATCCTCTCACCCCCACTGCCATACCCCTGAATTGTACTCCAGTTCTTGTATGAATAAATAAATCTTTTTTTAAAAAGCTCAGAGCTCCTGTTTCCCTTGAGTAGTCTAACCTGGTAGTTCCGGGCCTTGGTGCCTGTGCTCTCCCTTCCCCAGCACAGATCTTTTCGCTGCCTGTTGCTTACACTTGACTTTTCATTTATTTGCATTGCCTGCTAATCCCCTCTGGTAGATGTTTGCAGGTGTTAGTATAAACTCCCTAACCTGGGGGTAGTGCCCACTGCCGCCTCAGTATGTTTTTCTTCCCACTTGTACCTCTTTATATACATGCATAGCTCAGTTATTTTATGTTTATTGTGTTAGCAGAACTAAAGTAACCTGTTTCGTTTTAAAACTTAGCATTTTTCACTAAAATGGTTTAATGTGTAAGAATGACAGCTTTCGCTTGCTTTTAATTAACCTTATTTCCCTGTCTCTCTTTTGGCATTGGATGTCCCTGCAGTGTGGCTACAGCCAAGATGTCGTCCTTGTTTTCTCTACCATTCCCAGCTCACAGTTAATCCCACGTGTCTAGCTTACTCCAGCTCTTCAAGGGCATTCAGCCCATATCTCGCAAGTCTGGCTTTGTTGGTTGTGTCAGTGGGGTGATGCAACAATGCTCAGACCTGTGCGCAGACCTTCATTTGTATTTAGAGAAACTAGCATCCAAAGGGCTTGTTCTCTAGGTCACATAGCATGTAACTTTTGGGTCTTGCATCTTTATGACTGCAGGGCTCCTGCTCTTTCTGCTACTGTCTGCTCGCTGCCTTGAGTTAGATTTTCCTCCTACATCATACAGGTTTTGTTGGATAAGTTCCATGCTAGACATTCAGAGAGCCACTCTTGCCCTCAAGTAAGCTGTCATTTTTATAAAGCCATCACCCTTTACTCCACTGTGTGGCAGGTCCCAAGCGAAAGATGATCACCTGGCTTAGCCCTGCAGCACTGGCAGGCAAGTCCTTGTGGTGGCCACACCTTTTTACTGATAAACTGAGGCCCAGAGGCTCTTTGTTGCCCGAGAACTACGTGCAGTAAGTAGCAAAGGCGGGACTTGGTCTCCTCACTGCGCTCTCGAGCACATCACCTCCTTAACCTAGTGGCAGAGGCAGAGCTGTGCACCTCCGTCAGTAGCCACCAGTGCAGAGTGTCACGCCGGACGTGTCAAGAGGAGTGACTGACAAGTGCCAGGATAGCTCAGGGTTAGAATAAAACTTGTCTTCCATTCTTCTTACCTACCCAGTGATGGTCATTGATAATATTTCCAATTTATAGGTGAGGAAATAGTTTCAGTCATGGTCTACAAGATTATGTGATAAATTAAGAAGCAGAGCTGAAATTCAAACACATAGTGCTTTTTAAACATTTTTTAATTGAAGTATAATGTCCTTACACAAAGGTACAAATATCATAAGTGGCTAACTGGATGGATTGTCACACCATGGATACACTTTTGTGGCTTATACCCATATCAAGAAACAACCTTGCCACACTGTGAAGTCTTCCCTCTGTGCTTACAGTCTCAAACACACACACACAGCCCTGTACCTTCCTCATGGACAGCACTAGGGCTCTGTAGGTTGTTTTTGTCTTTTCACAAGGCCTTATAGTATGATGGATAAGAACAGGAGCTTAACAGTGTGGGCCAGTCGCTAGCTCTGCTCACATGGCTAGCTGTGTGATCTGGGGCAGCTTAGCATCTATGCTTCATTTGTAAATTGCAGGTAAAAGTGCTTCCTACCACCTGGGTTTGTTTTGTGTTAAGCATGAAACAGTGCATGAAGAAACTGCTAGGGAGGTTGCAACACTCCAAGTTAGCCTATACTGACACTCCTCAGAAGGGAAGGCGTTGTTAGGGAGGTTTTTGGTGGGAGCGAGATGCTGAAACTTTGCCTAAAGAAGAGTAACTTAGAGCAGACAGGGGAGGGAAAGGGATTCCTGCATGGATGAGAGCCACTCTGCGCCCAGGAGAGGCTTATGGATTTGGGAAATACACCGGGCAGCATGTCAGCAGTGATGTAGAGCTTACAAGGAGGGGATTTCAGCAGTAAATTTGGAGCGCTTGGCAGGATAGGAATTTGATGGTGGAGGGCATAGAGTACAGGTTAAAATATTTGGGCTTTTCCCATGTTGCACTGGGAAGGCATCAGAAATTTCTGAATGTGTATGTTGGGGTTAAGGACAGTTTGTCCTGATATTTTGGATGGTCCATATGCAGGAGCTCTGCAGGTGGAAAGCAGAAAGACTGAAGGCAGAAAGATGATTCTGCAGTGAGAAAACTGGGTTTAAGATTAAATCAGACCTTGTCAACTGATTGTTCCCTTTATTTCTTTAAACCCCAGGCACTACGGTGAATACTTTTACATATGTTATCTTATCCAGTCCCCCAAAACTGTGAAAGTAGACTTTGTTATCTGTACTCTAGGGATGAAGAATACGCCACATATCTTGTGCAGTGACACAATGAGGAAGCTGTTGGTCTGGTTTCAGCCCAGATGTGTACCATTATAAACCCAATCTCACACCACCGGCTCAGGGCTTTGCAGTGACAGCTTACCGGTAGGCCTGGCTCTGTGTTTTTAGTTAAGTACCCAGGTGATTGTAATGATACACTGCTCTGCTCTTGGGAAGCATTAGACCCACTGTGCCACCTCTCCATTGATTTGGGCCAGTCCCACCCATGCCCCCCAAAAGTTACCACTACTCCACTCCAGACCCCTGTTCTTATAGAGGGGATGGGCCTAATTCTTGGACTCAGCAAATAATCCTTGACGAGTGAGACCCAAAGGCTCAGGGCGTTGGCAGTAACAGTGTGGCTGAGGAGTCAGCAGCACAGCCCAGCCTAGAAGCTCATGAAAAATGCAGATGCTCAGGCTGCATGTTTGCAGTATCCCAGGAATCAGGGCCTGCATATTTGCAGTGTCCCAGGTGACTTGAAATAAAAGAAGCACTGCTCTAAAGCATAAACTTAAAGTGTGAGGGGAATATAATAGTTTTGTCAAACTGCTTCTGTAGTCCACAGGTAGAATATTACAAAAAAGAAAGTGGAAGATCTTTTATTTGTGGGTGCCTACTATGTATCTAATGTTTTAGACTCATTTCATTAACCTCACAAAAGCCCTATGATGAGTCATTACCCCCATTTTAAAAAAAGATTTATTTATGCATATAAGAACTGGGGTACAGGCCAGAGATGCAGGGAGTAAGAGGATTCACCAGAGACAGAGTGGGGAGCAGAACAGGCAGATCGATGAAGTCCACTGCTGAGGGGAGCAGCGGGTGGGTCAGGAGAGGTCTGTAGCACCATGTGGGTCAGCTTCCTGGCCAGGGGATCGAACTGGTGCTGCAGTGGCTGTGGACAGCATAGTGTTGTCCTTTAACTCCTTGTACTTCCATTTGACTGATGTGGAAACTGAGACTCTGAGAAGTTAAGCTACTAGCCTGGGACACACAATGGGGAATGCCTTAACCAGGATTCCTGCGCAGATCTGCCTCACTGCAAAACCCACACTCTGCAGCCTCCAGGTGTCTTCCACCAGCCAGCAAGGAGCGTGGGGTCGGTCTTCCGCCATGCTAGTCTTCCCTGTGAGTGTTCTTCCGTACAGAATCCAGTCACCTGGCACATCACAGGCATGCCATGAAACAGAGCAGTGGGTTCTGTGCTAACAACTCTCCTCTGTGGAGTTTTCGTCAGCCATTCCCCTTGTACAAGATTTTTACCTAAACTAATTATGATCACGAAAGAGAGGTTGGCAGAAAGCACCATCCTCTGGATATATGGCCATGTGTGGTCTTCACCTTCCCCCGGCTGCCTCCAGCCCAGCGGCTGCAGCTCTTACCGTCGCAGTCAGGCAATAACTTGGGCGATGCTTGTTCACATCTCCTATGCTGGGCATTGCACAGAGTGCTTTATAAACATAATCTCATTTAAATTTCAGCAGCCGTGTCAGCTGTTATCCTGCTATTTTTGGTCTTTCCATTTATACCAGGGAAACTGAGGCCTATGTGTCACTAGGGTATCTAATGGAAGAAGTGACAATAAGTAATACTTATGACAGCTTTCTATATGATAGGTATACAGATTTCAATGCCTTTTTTTTTTAAGTGATTCTTAACTACAACCTTGTAACAATTTTACACTAGAATAAAAGGTACTTTCATCATTTCCCTCCCCACCCCCAGGTAGCCTAACTTCAGACTTCAGAACCTGTAATGTTAACTGAATCTCGGTTTTTGTTTTCTTATTCACAGGCACCCAAATTGGCCAAAAATTTCTGTGTGTGCCATTTGGCTACTGGGGACATGCTAAGGGCCATGGTCGCTTCTGGCTCAGAACTGGGGAAAAAGCTGAAGGCAACCATGGATGCTGGCAAGCTGGTAGGTGTGGGTAGCAGTGAATGTGGACATTCCTCAGTCTAGATCGCCACTAACATGGCCGCCACCTGCTGCATGTAGCTGTTAAAATTTAATTTAATTTGAAATTTGACTCCTCTGTCTCACTTGCAGCATTTCAGATGTTATCTAGCCAGCATAGAGACAGAACATTTACATCATCATAGAAAGTTCTCCTGGGCCCTCCCTGGTGGCACAACGGGTTAGGACACAGCACTGCAAGGTAGCTACAACTGCTTCAGTGTGAGTTCAATCCCCGGCCCCGGAGGAGATCCACATGGCACGGCTGATCTCTCCTGACCCGCCCACTGCTCCCCTCATCAGTGTACTGCCTGTTCTGCTCCCCACTCTGTCTCTGGTGAATCCTCTCACCGCCCCTGCACCCCTGGCTTGTACCCCAGATCTATATGCATAAATAAATATATAATTTTTTTTTTAAAAAAAGAAAGAAAGTTCTCCTGGACAGCCCTGTGCTAAATTGCACAGGACTTTTGGCATATCAAGTTATTCAGTTCATTCTGAATATGTGGTACCTGTTTTACCCATGTTATTCTTGAAGCTCCTTTTTACTGACGCATGTAGTAGTAGACCCAAAATTGAAACTGCTGTGTGTCAGCTGGAACTCGGGGGTATATTCAAGAGGACACTTAGGAAGCCACCGAGTGTTTAAAACCTCTTGTGTAACTATGTTCTGTGTCTCTCACAGAAGAGTTACTGGACAGCTGATAAAAGTAAATCCTTTCCATTTGGGGATATAATAGCATTTTCCTCTGGCTCTAGGCCAGTTGGTTTGATTGGACAAATACAGGCTTATCTACTAAATGTTTGGTTAGTGCCTGAGCTGGCTTAATTATAACTGAGTTATCCTGAGACTTGCCTCAGGGAACCACCTTCAGTGGTCATTTTGTGCTTATCCCTTTAGTGTACGGTTGTAGAAGGTGCTGGGCTTATCCTCCATCCCTGAATTGCCTCCCATTAGGCTTTGAGATTCTGCAGCTGTATCAAATAGTACCCCTGCCCACCTGTCCAGCTGCCCTTTACTTCCAGCTTTCCCATCTTAGTCAGGCCCTGGGTTAAGCTGGAAAGCTAGCTGTTCTGGACTTTGGGTCTTGGCAGAAAATCTGTACTGGAAAAAAATTAGGATGTGGCTATGAGATTGCTTATCTCCAGCTTTCACTTAGTCACAGTTTATACTTTGTCCCCAAGTTTACAGCTGGTCCTGGGAGATGAGAGCTCTAGCTACCAAGATGGACAGCCTTCATAATACTGGCAGGACACTTCCTTCCTGTGAAGGCCCTACAGGACAACAAGGTTTCCAAGGCTGGAGGGAGCTTCACTGGCACGTGTAGAGAGGCTGTGTTAAGCTGGCTCCTCCATTGCTTGGTGCTCACCCAACTCACCAGTTCAGCAAACTTCTCTGTTTCTTCACATCTGGGATGCCGTGGGTCACTTTACGGTTACCTTAGACAAAATCACGAGACAGGGAACGCTGATGCCTTTCTGCATCTGGTCAGCCCCCATCTCTCCTGGAGCCTTCCTTAGGTGTTCTTTCAGCCACATGACCTCACTTTGGTTGTGCTTTGACAACAGTTAACTGCTATAAACTGTTATCTGACTATATGGTCGAAGCAGACTTCAGGACCTAAGTAAGACGCGGAGCGTTCCTGATGGGGGAATCCTCTTCCCTTATCCAGACACAGAAGGATTGTAAGAGGAGACATGTGTATAGCACCACCACAGAAATAATTGTGGTTATTCTGCATTACACACTGAATCTTCAAAAGGAACCATTCTGCATTTGCTCTGAATTTTCTTTCTTCAGAGTCAGGAAGGGAAGGCTGTTTAATAATCAGGTTGTGTAGACAGACACTTGTGACCCTGGAATTAGACTACTAATGTCCCCGAGTTCATGGATTTAAACCAAGGCTGTTTTCTCTTTGGCTTCCAGGTGAGTGATGAAATGGTAGTGGAGCTCATTGAGAAGAATTTAGAGACCCCTCCATGCAAAAATGGTTTCCTTCTAGATGGCTTCCCTCGGACTGTAAGGCAGGCGGAAATGGTAGGTGGCTTGATTTTGTATCACTATTACATGAGAACAAATGCTTGCCCTTTGTCTCCTAATTCCTTTGAGGAAAGTGGGTCTGATCAAGCTCTGGTAGCTTACTCAGGTGAGCCACACACTCTCTTACAGCTTGACAGCCTCATGGAGAAGAGGAAAGAGAAGCTTGATTCTGTGGTTGAATTCAGCATCCCAGACTCTCTGCTGATCCGAAGAATCACAGGAAGGTATTTGTCCCCTGGAGGTCCTGTCTTTTCACACTTCCTCCAAGCTTTGTCAGGTCAGAGGAGACAGTGATGCCTAGCCCCAGCCAAGGCTCACTGTCACTTCAACAGGGGTTGATCTTATTTGGTGACAGTCTCTGAAGGAGTGACATGGGATAGGGATCAGGAAACAGAAGCAAGTCCTGTCACCTTTGAACTCTGACCCTAGGCAAGTTTCTGTTTTTTTCCCCTGGACAATTATAATGTTTATATGAAAGAAAGAATAGAAGAGGTACCTCTTCTCTCCCCCAGCAGAATTTTTAGTTATCAAGTAACTTTTTATGTCTATCGACTAGTTTCATATCAACATTAGTTTTTTCCTTTTTTACATTTGCATTGCCTTCCACCCACCCCCCTTTTTTTTTTTCCATTTTATTGAGGTAAAATTGGTTTACAACACTATATATGATTTTCAACATCATTCCCACAATCAAGGCACTCATGGTCCTTTATCCTAGACCACTGGGCCCCTCCCTACTTTGTTCCTGCTCCTACTCTCCCTCCCCCCAGTAGCTGTAGTCCTATTTCTAGGGTTTATTTTGGTTTGGTTTTATTAGTTTCTTAGTTTTGTTTCTCTATATTCTGCATATGAGTGAAGTAATCTGGCATTTGTCTTTTTCCTTCTGTCTTATTTCACATAGCATAATCCCTACTTCCATGTTGTCGCAAATGGCAAGAGTCCATTTTTTATATAGCTGAGTAGTATCCCACTGTGTATATATACCACCTCTTAATCCCCTGCTCTGTCGTTAAGCATTTAGGTGGTTTCCCTAACTTGGCTGTTACAAATAGTGCTGCAGTAAACATAGGAGTGCACGTAGCCCTTCAAATTAGTGATTTTGTATTCTTCAGGTAGATACTTAAAGTGGAATTGTTGGGTCATATGGTAGATCTATTTGTTATATATATATATATATTTTAAAGATTTATTTATTTATTCATACAGAACTGGGGTACAGGCCAGAGATGCGGAGGGTGAGAGGACTCACCAGAGACAGAGTGGGGAGCAGAACAGTCAGATCAATGAAGTACACTGCTGAGGGGAGCAGCTGGTGGGTCAGGAGAGGTCTGCCACTCCATGTGGATCTCCTCCAGGGCAGGCGGGGATCGAACTCATGCAGAAGTGGCTTAAGCTTCTTAGTGCTGTGCCTTAACCCGCTGCACCACCAGGGAGGACCCTATTTGTAATATTTTGAGGAACCTCAGCACTTTTCTTTAGGGGCTGGACAGTCTACATTCCCACCAACAGTACATATAAGGGTTTATTTTTCTACACTAAACATTTGTTCTGTCTGGGTTTTTTTTGGTCACCATTCTCTGTACAGTGGGATAGTATCTCATTGTGGTTTTGATTTGTATCTCCCCAGTAATAAGTAATGTTGAACATTTTTTATATACTTTTGGCCATTGTATACCTTGTATGGAGAAGTGTCTCCTTGGCATTTTTGCCCATTTTTTTATTTGGTTTCTGTTTTCTTTTGTTGTGTTTTTTTTTTGTTGTTGTTGTTGTTGTTGTTTTTTAAAGATTTATTTATCCGTACAGAACTGGGGTACAGACCAGAGATGCGGAGGGTGAGAGGATTCACCAGAGACAGAGCAGGGAGCAGAACAGGCAGATCGACGAAGTACACTGCTGAGGGGAGCAGTGGGCGGGTCAGGAGAGGTCTGCCACACCATGTGGATCTCCTCCGGGGCAGGCGGGATCGAACTCATGCAGAGGTGGCTGTAGCTTCTTAGTGCGGTGCTTTAACCTGCTGCGCCACCAGGGAGGGCCTTCTTTTGTTGTGTTTTATGAGCCCAGTGTAGGCCTTGGATATTAGCTCCTCATCACATATGCAGATATTTTCTTCATTCAGTAGGGTGTCTTTTTGGTTTTAAAGATAGTTTTTTTGTTTGTTTACTGTACAAAAACTTTAGCTTGACACAGTCCCATTCATTTATTTTTGCTTTTGTTTCCTTGCCATTGGAGTTGAGGCCCCAGAGATATCCCTGAAACCAATGTCCTGGAGTGTTTTGTGTATCTTCTTCTGTGTATTTTATGTTTTCCAGTCTTTCATCCACATCTTAAATCTAGTTCATGTGTGGTACGAGAGAGTGATGTGAATGGTCCAGTTTCGTTTTTCTGCATTTGGCTCTCCAGTTCTCCTAACACCATTTGTTGAAGAGACTTCTTTCTCTGTTGAATTCTTTTGGCTCCTTTGTCATAGAATAACGGTCCGTATAATGTCGGTGTATTCCTGTCCGTTGTTATTCCAATATCATGCCTTTTTGGCTATTATATATAGCCTTATTCTAGTGTGAAGTCTGGGAGCACATAATACCTCTCTCTTTTTTGTCAAGATTGCTTTGGCTTTGGGGGTCTTTTATGGTTCCATATGAATGTCAGTAATGTTTGTTCTGTGTCTTAGAGGAATTCTGTTGAAACATTTATATGGATTGTATTGAAATCCCTTTAAATAGCTTTGGTTAAATGGACTTTTTGAAAAGATTTTTATTTATTTATTTTTTTTATATGGAGAACTGGGGTGCAGTTCAGAGTTGGGGTGGGTTGAGAGAATTCACCAAAAACAGAGTGGGAAACAGAACAGGCAGATCCACTGAAACACATTGCTGAGTGAAGCAGTAGACAGGCATGACAGGAAAGGTCAGCTGGGCCATGTGGGTCACCTACCTGGCTGGGGATGGAACTCAGGCTGTTGAGGTGGGCCTCGAACTCATGCTACAGTGGCTGCAGATAGCTTCATAGTGCTGCGCTTTAACCCATTGTACCACCAGGGAGACCCCCATTCTGCTATTTCTTGAGCATATTTGGTTGGTGGGTTTTGATTTAGCCTATTCATTGTAGGTCTCTGGCACTCTAGTTATCCTAGGAGGTAACCGACTGGTACCTTAACCTAATATCTCCTTACAACCCCATTTTGTGGTTGAGAAAACAGGTGTCTGAAGTGTCACAGTCAGGATAGCAGTGCCAGCAAAATCCCAGCCCTGATCACCCACCTCCAGGCCAGGCTTAGTGGCCAATATATCGGTTTTGGCAGGTACCTGGGGCCCATGCCATTTTGATTAGAGATTGAACTTTCTTTCATTTCCCTTTCCTAATAGAATGAGTCTTAAATTCCTTTTCAAAGGGTAATTGTGGATGGGGAAGGAGCAGGGAGGTGTACATCTGGAGGTGTAGCAGGAAGGGAAGCTGTGAGCGTAGAGAGGAGAGTCTGCCTGTCCCAGCCTGGCTGTTCTGTGCCTCTTGCTCTCCGGAAGCAGGGCTACTTCTCATTCCCAGCCCTTCCTAGAGGGAAAGTCAGATGCAGCTTATACCTTCCCGCTCCCTGGCAGTTCCAGCATTTGCAAGCCTCCAGCCCTCAAATCAAAAGGACCCCACCTCACGGTACATGGCTGCAGTCAGAGGACCTTTGGCACAGCTTATTTACACAGCATTGTCTTGTCCCAGTGCTCTAAGTGGGCCCTCCTTTGATACAAAATGGAATGCTTGGCTCCCAGAAAATGATGTTGTTAAAACAGTTTTCTGGCCCTCCCTGGTAGCACAGCGGGTTAAAGCACAGCACTGAGAAGCTAAAACCACTTACGCATGAGTTCGATTCCCGCCTGCCCTGGAGGTGATCCACATGGCGTGGCAGACCTCTCCTGACCCGCCCGCTGCTCCCCTCAGCAGTGTACTTCGTCGATCTGCCTGTTCTGCTCCCCACTCTGTCTCTGGTGAAGCCTCTCACCACCCCTGAGCCTCTGGCCTGTACCCCAGCTCTGTATGCACAAATAAATAAATCTTTAAAAAAAAAAAACAAAAAACACAGTTTTCTATCTTACAAAGGCTCGTTAGTCTAACCTGGACTTTCCCCGCTGTCGTGCTGAGGTAGCCATCCCCTCAGCCATCAGAGCAGCTAGCAGGCCTGGGATGCCCACAGCCCCCAGGGGAGCAAATATCTCCCACACTGTACAAATACCACTTCTCTGTCTGCGAAGAGATGGAAAATGTTGGAAAGCTGCAGTCTAACAAACCTCATAAGGAGAGCAGGCACCAGTGAAGTAAGCAACTACAGTCAGCATAGGAGCGGGAAGCCAAGGGAGCTCGAGCAGACCCTGGCTGCCTCTGGCCATCCCCAGTCAGGAACACAGGTCGCCTCAGGGATCGCAGCACAGCCCAAGCTGCCAGCTGCGTATGCAGTGCCAAATAAGTGCTAGTTCTTGGACTCTTTTCCATGACTTACCTCATTTGTCATTCTTCCCGACTCCGTGAATCACCCCTCTGGTAGCTGGGCTTTACTCCACGAGGCCACAGTACCACAATGGTGGCCACCCCGTGGTGGTATGTACACCCTAGGGTGTGATTTCCTCAGGATGGATTCTGGTTGTAACCAAACTGACTTATCAGATAAGATTAGCTCTTCTCTATCTTCCTCCCCTGGTACATTGTGCAAATGCCTCACAGAATTGTCACAGATATTAGTTAGCTACTTACTTGTCTCCCCCACAAAGTGCAGCTTCACAAAGTAAAACTTAGGGAGCAGGGACCTGGACTCATGTCTTCATGACCCTTGGATTCGGCCTAAGGCCTGAGTCGGACCAGGCCCTTAGTCTGTTGGGTGAACTGCTGAGGAGAATGAATGGCTGTGAGACCAGCACCAGCGTTCCTTCTCTTAAGACTGTCTTAGGCAGTCATAGCAGCCTCTTCAGCCAGCGCACAATGTTTGCTGAAGTAAAAACATGCTCAGTCTGGCATCAGTACTCCTAGAAGCCCCGTTCTTGTCTCAGCCAGGGATGCCTAGCGCCAGGTTCTCTGGTGGGTGACACTCCTTACATCCAGCTTCTTGTCACCTTGCAGGCCCCAGGGGGTGCAGGATACTTTCTGGCAACCTGACTCATGTTCATTTGCTGCCTTTCAGGCTGATTCATCCCACGAGTGGCCGTTCCTACCACGAGGAGTTCAACCCCCCAAAGGAACCCATGAAAGATGACGTATGTAAACTCAGAACAGAAAATTTCCTTCTCTTTCCTTCCTCTTTCTTCCTTTGCTTCCCTCCCACCCACTTTGATTTTTCCGTCTTCCCTTTGTCTCCATGCTATCAGTAATTTAGCTTGGAGAAATATCACTACCACGTAACTCCCAAGGGCTGTGGCTCATCTGTACACTGTCTCTCCAGGTGGTGTATTGCTTGGCCTGAGGTAACTAACAGTGCCAGCTACTTGCCAGTACCCAGTCTCTATCTTCTAGAGCAGCAGTGTAGTGACCCAAATAATAACTAATCAGGAGACAGCTGCTTGGAAACCCAGAGTTAGAGCCAAAGTGGGGAGGGTAGTGCCACGAGAAGTTTGCCGGCCAGTCCTGCTTCAGAAGAATGTCTTCTCTCTCCAGCGACTGCTCTGCTGTGCCCTGCAGACTTACAGTGTTTTGGCTCCATTAACCCTGACAAGCTCTCGTGACGGTCTTCAGTTGATTACAGATCTAGAAGGGAGAATCTCATACTTGTTCGCTGTAACATTTGCCATCAATAGTCTGTTTCTGAACATACAAGCGACAGTAAGACTTTCCTTGATTTACCTTGTCGTCTGAGACCAGTTCATACAATTGTACAAGTTCTAAACCGTCTCGGCTTAGTCCCATTTCCCAGAGGTGATGTTCTGCTGCGCGGTGCTTTCTCACTTCCCTTGTCACTTCCACACTGAGAGTGGCCAACACTCTAGTGATAGCACAAAATACTCAAGCGACTAAGATTATAGTTACGAATGCATCTCTGATTTTGATGTTTTCCTGGTCTCAGGCTTCCGTCTTTATTACATCTGATCCAAAACAATGTTCATTTTAGAAGCTTGATAGCTGAGCAGAAGCTGTGAGGGAGAGACATTGCCCATCCTCTTCCCAGAACCGCCACTCCTCAGTTACTGTTTCAGGCTCCCTCACTTCTTTGAGCCAGCTCCGGGGACCAGCTTGCTGGGTGAGAGTTTTTGTTAGAGATGATCTAGAGTGTGTCTTTCCTGTGATGTGGGATCAGAAAGCGTCTCAGATCTTCATATGTGATCACTAAGAAAATCTTTCTAAAAGTCCTTGCCTGGCCTGGCCCCCTTCTGTTCGCAGGTCACTGGAGAACCATTGATACGCAGGTCAGATGATAATGAGAAGGCCTTGAAAATCCGCCTGGAGGCCTACCACACCCAGACCACCCCCCTGGTGCAGTACTACAGCAAGCGGGGGATCCACTCTGCCATCGATGCGTCCCAGACCCCCGATGTCGTGTTTGCCAGCATCCTCGCAGCCTTCTCCAAAGCCACATGTAAAGACCTAGTTATGTTTATCTAATGTGTGTCCGTTCAAAAAGGAACCTCTTTCTCCTCTCCCTCTCGGGGTGTGGGCTGGCGTGGCAGAGCAGGCAGAGGGACACTTCCTCAGGCCAGCAGAGTATCACTTGATGTATCGATTAAAAAAGCACTTGCTTCCTATATCTCTGGTGTGTGTGCGACTCTCATCTCATCTGTGTGTGTGTGTGTTTGTGTACACAGAAATGTGTTTACCCTTCCTGCTTTCTAAGTTACAGGCGAGGTGACTTTACCAGTTGTTTACTTCTGTAACCACACTCTTGATTTTATTTTTTGGCTAGAGTGAGAAAAGTCAGGTATCTGGGAGGCACCCTAGTTCCATGGTATTTCCTACATTTCCAGCAGCTGGTTAGAACTCCATGGTCACATGCAGGCCTGAAGCCAAGACGGCAAATTATTGGCTGACAGTTCCACTTTCTAACCCATAATGAAAAGCCACATGAGTCAGCATTGGTCAGGGAGCACTAATTTTTCCCCCTAAATGGAAGGAAAAAGGCATTACAGATTCCAGAAATTACTAGGAGTATCAGCGTAAAATGAGCCAGACCCACTTAGCATGTTTGTCATCTGCATCATGGAAGCAGAGATTGTTTAGGACCTGTGTTTGAAAGTGAGTTGTTGCCAGAGAATTGAGGGTGAAAAGGCCCTTTGAATCTAGACTGTCTTCTGAACATCCAGGCTGGGCATCTGCTTCCTCAAAGAGAGACCAAGGTGGGTTTGTTCATTTTTATTTCCAGCATTTGCCCTGTGTTCCCACATATGAACAAAACTGTCTTCTGGAGGTGATCTGTCCTTGGATTTATTTTGATTAGAGTTTCTTCAAATCCAGTCTCTCCAGGGTATAAAACCCAAATCAGATGTATCCCTTTTCAGCTCAAATCCTCACATTTTCAGATATCATCCTTTACCCATCACTTCATGTTGGTGGTGACCACAGACTTCCCAAGAAAAGGTTACCCCAAAATAAGATCGCCTATGGCAATACCAAGCTGTCATTCCTAACTTTCAGCTCCTCAGCTATTAAGTGTTTCCTAGGGTCCATGCTGTGCCTTTTGGTCTCAGCAAACCTGAAGTGACAGACTGCTATGAGGGAGCACAGAAATAGCGGCCTCTGGAAAAGCCATTAGAAAATCAGTGGCAGGGCCAGTAAATAATGCTCGTGTGTCAACATAATCTGCTTGACTCAGTGCAGTGGACTCTAAGGTGCCCGGTCTCCACCTGACCTGAGCTCTCCTACTGTTTGGGGGACTCCCAGAGCCTTGTTTTCTGTCCACCTGCAGGCCAGGTATGGGTATGTGGCCTTCTGGTTTCCCTCTTTGTCTGGTTCGAATGAGTGTCTCCTGGCTCCGCTCTGCCTTGTTTCCCTGGCTGTCAGCTAACTCCACCCGTTCTTAACGGAAACCCAGTCTGGCTTGGGGCATTTCTGGGAAGCCCATGACTTCTGGGAATGGGCAAAGCAAAGAGTGAAGTCAGAACTATCAGGGATGTCTGCGGGGATCTAGGATCTTTCTGTGGTTGACGATGGTTTCATGAATCTTAGAGGCAACTCCCCTTTGAGGACAGTTGCAGGCACTTGGCCTCAAAGTCGAGGTCCTTGGATGTTTGCCAGTTGAATGTGCATGACCTTTGCTCACATAGTTGCCATCCACCCGCATCATTCACGTGCACACACGTATTTGTGATGCGCGGACCGCTGGTGAGAACTAGAAGGTGGGTGGGGGCAGGGAGGGCATGCACAAGCCCTTTAGGGGGTGGTGAGGATTTGATTCTTGCTTCATATAATTCCAGAGCCTTAACCCCAGCAGGCATGAGAACTTTCACCTGGCAGAGAAATGTCCAGTGTTTAATGCATTTGGGTGCTGGGGCGTGCATGCCAGCCCACTCTGCTGTCTACGTGGTGTTTAAAATCCCATTTTGTTCTCTCTTGTTTCCTCTCTATTTCAGCCTAGTAACAGAAGGCCAGGCGAGACTGCACCGCTGCTCATCACCCCGTGGCGTGATCCCCGCTCTTAGGTGCTGGGCAGAGGGGAGGGGTGGTCAGGGTAAGGAGGGAGAGGGCAGCGTGCTCGTAAGGGGCTCAAGAGGCGTGTCGTTGGGAGGCAGCAGTGTCGCTAGGCCATTTCTCTTACACGTCGTAGGAATCTTAACAAGTATAAGTGAAGGGGAAAATTAATTTTTAAAAAATTGATTGGAGGCTATAAGTAGAAATACGGAGATACAGTGTTACTTCTAAGGAATCGAGTTTTCATTTACTCTGGACTGGTGACAATATTCTTTAAGGCTAATGCCCTAAGACCTCAGCTTTTATCTCAGAACCTCATGGGATGCCAGCCTAGGAAGTCAAGCTATGTTATCCTGTCTGTCCTGCAGCTTGGAACAGGGAGGGTTTGACGACTCACCCTGGCTCCCCACATCATGAGAGCAAAATCTGAATGAGATTTGGGTGTGTTCGTGGGAGCAGTGGCTCAGCAAATCAAGTTTACTGGAATTGTACGGAAGGGGTCCAAGCCGGCTCTCCCTTCCCAATTTACCACTGATTTACCGTTCTACCTGTCTTGGGTGAGCTCTCAGCAGCCACCCAGCTTCCTGCCACAATCCTGTACTCTGCCTTCTTCTACCCATGATGTGTGAAGAAACCCTTTTTATTAAATAAGCAAGTGTCCTGAGCAATATCATCCAAAGATTGTCCTTTCCATCCTCAACCCTGTGACGGGGATCACTCGACAGCACTGTGATGTATTTTCAATGAGGTGCCTTTCTTTATGGACCAAATGCTGCCTTGTTTGGCCCTGAATCAATAAAGTATGTTAAAAGTTTGTATCCCCTATTGTGTATTTTTATTTTTAGGGGGTCTGGGCTAGAAAAATTCTACTGAATTTGGATCTGGCTTAGACACTTGTGGTCACAGAAAGCCACAAGGTGGGGAGGTCCAAGTATATGCCCCTAAGATTAGCCTGCAGCCTTCACCTGGAGCTCACAGGCGACCTTTCTCCAACCCAAGGACCAGGCAGCTCGGCCTGAGGAGCAACGCTGTGCTCAGACGTCGGGATGAGTGACGAATCCAGCCAGTCATACACTCTGTGCCCGTTTTCTGTGCCTGTGACAAGGTCGGTGATGTTGCCTCTCAGGATTTTTGATGTTAAGTGAAGTCTATAAGAAGTTTTTGCTTGGTGCCTGGCACACAACAGACACTGAATAAATGTTAGTTGGATCTGAAGATACACAGAGAAATACCTCCTTCCTGCTGGACTCGACAACTGTGACGTGGACTATTGTCCTCAGCCCAGAAAGCTGGCGCTGCTAATCCCTAAGCCAGATCTCTGGCTGCTATCCCGACTGCCTCTTTAACACCCTTGTCGCATCTTTGTAAATCCATTTCCCCAGCAAAAAAAAAAGCTTAAGTCATTTGTCCCAGCTGAAGCTTTCATGCTGCTCGGAAAGGCTGCTGTTGCCAGTGAGGTTTCTGAGAAATGACTGCTCTTCCCAAAACCAGACGAGGAGGCTGAAGCACTACCATTCTTCTTCGGGCTTTCTTGTTCTGGCGTGAGGCGGAGGGGACGCTGACTTATTAGCTCCTGCTGCCTGAGCCAGCTCCCTGTTGGGCTTCACTTCCCCACCTCTGCAGTCATTGTCCGGGGTCCACGTGACTTACTGGCTCTGCTCTCTCCATTCCCCGAACTTTTGAAAATGAAAACTTTTCTTCCCTTTATCATGCCACAAACAGCAGGAAGTATCTGTCAAACCAGCCCAAGAGGCCAGATGGTAAGGTTGAAAAGAATAAACTGCAAGACCAGACAAACTGTTAAGTATTCATTCCTTTAGACTTGGTTTCCTTCTCTACCTGCTGAGGTTCGATGAGAAATGAATGCCTTCACACCCACGACCTCACTCGACCCCCACGAATGGCAGTAAGAACAGTCATTCTCCTATTGTACAGGAGAGAAAACAGACTTGGAGCAGCAAAGTGTCATTCCTGAGGTCACATGAGGTAGGGTCGGAGCGCAAACGCTCTCTGACCCCAGTCTCGCTCCTTAACCTTGTCGCTGAAGTGATGGAGTGACTTGTGCAGTTCTGCAGCAGCAAAGCCTCCTCTGCGGGAACGTTCTTTGTCACGGACCTGCCTAAACTGACTTTGAGCAGGTCACTACCAGGCTGAGGGCCCAGGGCATATGTGTTAGGATCCCTTCTGTGCCTCAGATGGGACAACAGGATAAAGAAAGCAGCTTGGTCCTCAGGGAGCCTCACCAGACTTAGGAGAGTGGCAAAATGGGTCAGAGGACAGACTTCAGCAGCTCCGCCACCAGGACACCTCAGGCCAGTCACCTCACCTCATCAGTAGAATGGCAACAGCCCCTGCCCCTCAGGTACGCTGGCAGCACTACTGACCATGATGCCCATCTGGCTCGGGTACACTGAGCGCAGGCCTGGGAGATGCTGCAGAGTTCAGAGAGAACAGAATCGCAGGCACTGGTGAGAGCTACCTTCCTCTGGACTTTGAGGAAGCAGGCTAAGGACTTTTAATCTGAAGATCCGCTAGGACTCCACTGACCCCTGCAGTCGCATGCCAACTGCATGCCTGTATTTTCAGGATGAAACAGTTGAACATCCACCTTGTGCTCACCATGTGGTAACTGCCGCCTCCCTCGTCCGCCCCCAGCCCTGGGGAGTGAGTGCTGCTGTAGCCCATGTCGTGTCTGCGTTTGAGGTCAGACCCTGGAAGGGCAGCCCCAGCGAGAACCGACCGGTCTGTGGCTCCACACTCCTGCCTCTTAGCGCTGTGCCAGTTGCCTTGCCGATTTGCCAGGAGGGGGAAAGGTTTTGCCAGGCACTTGTGCTACAGAGCAGTCTACAAGCCACAGATCTAAGTGAAAGGAGAAATCTGAGTGGGTTTGCCATCACTGTGAAGGGCCTAAGTGGGGAGTGCTGCTTCAGATGAGGCCTTTTCCTGTGTCATCTTTTTGTTTTGTGTTGTGTTGGGTTGGTTTGTGTTGTGTGTGCTAACATGCTCAAAGCTCCAGTGTGCTCAATTTGAGAGCTCTTAAGATCCATCCCTACTCCAGAGAGGGGAGTTACTGTGGGAAAAAGGAGTCAGTTGCCACCACAACCCACACTCACAGAGATGTACTAGCACCCCATCACTGCTCTGACCAGGCACTGGAAGGTTCTGTACTGTGGGACAGAAGAGAGGAGTCTCAGTTTTACCATCAGCTGTGTTCAGTCGTGTGCCAAGGGATGTGGGCGTGGGATCTGGGGTGACAAAGGTGACCTGTGTGGTTAGCTCTTGATTCGTTAGCTCACTGTATACCTTGGGAATACACTTGCCCTTTAAGCCTTAGTAAACTAGTCTACAGAATGAGGATCCTGGTACCCAGCTAGAAGGGCGGCAGCATCAATATGAATTGAAAAAGCAGCTGCTGCTCCATCGTCCTTTCCCGTGGCTATTTGCAAAGGAAAGAAGGAATTTCAATATATATTGCAAGATACTTCAATAGGAATATGGTAGGGTAAGCCTTCACATCCATACGCACACCGCTTGGAATACGGCACCAAACCAGAGCAGGTTGCTTTCCACTGGAATGTTTCATCAGCTGCCAGCGTTGCCCAGGTGGGGTCGGGGACAATGCTCCCTTCCCCAGCTGTGCTGATTCTACTCCAGGCTGGCAGGAAGCCATGCTGTCCCAACATGGCAGCCGCAGCGCCCAGCGCTCACGGACATGGGCCATCCTGTCACTGAGGATGAGAGAGACCTGCTGCTGAAACCGCACTTTGGACTGGCGGTGCCTGCTCCGTGAACCTGCTGGATGGCTGCCTCCCTGAGACCAACATGGGAGGGGACTCGGGGAGAGTGAGCTGCCGAGGGAGACCTGTGAGCTTCAGTTGTGTGGGACACCGGGGGGTGCTTGAGGAGCCCTAAAGAGTCATTGGTGAGAGTGTTGGCTCATCTTTTGAAAAGCAGGTTCGTCCTCCAGTGCAGGGATGGGGCAGCACCCTACCCGGTGTGGCTGCGGACTGAACGCTCAGCGCATCAGGACCCTGACAGAGAAGCCCCATGATCCCAGCACGTGCTCCCTGGCTGGCAGCTCTGGCTCAGCAATTCCACCTTCGTACTGTGTCCTAAGGAAATGACTAAGTTTGTGCAGCACAGGGTGATTGGAAACAACCTAAATTTCCAACAGCAGAGGAGATACGCATCTCATGATTCATATATGAGATAGAATAGTACGCAATCAAGACAGGAATTTTATGATCAATGATTGAGTGAATAAACACATTATAAAACAATAGAAAAGGGTCTGTTTTAAAAAACAAATTTTTTGTCTGGAATAATTTTAAGTTTATAGACATTCCAAAGATAGCACAGGGAATTTCTGCAGACACGTCACTTAGCTTCTAATGTTGACCTATAAGTAGGTCCATTTGCCAAAACTTCATACTTTACTACTAGACTCTGCCAATATTTGGCCCCGGGACACCCCAGTTCTCCCACTATGTCCTTTTCTAGGCTCCAACACAATATACCCCACTGACTTTAGTGGTTTTGTTTTTGAGATCTTTGTTTTTCTTTCTGTATAGTTTTCCTGTTTGGGTTTTTTTTTTTTTCTTTTTTAAATTTGTGTTTCTCTGTTTCTTCTTTTCCCACATTTTAAAAGGACAGGTTTATTAGGAAAAGGAGAAAGAAGGGCCCTCCCTGGTGGCGCAGCAGGTTAAAGTGCAGCACTGCAAGCTAGCCCTGCCTTCTTCATGTAATAGGAGTAGAAGTCACCCAGTCCTTCTCTAGACTGAGCTAAGAGGCCATGTCTGCCACATCCCCCTTTTCTCATCTGGCAGCACAGGGTTAGATGCAGACTGGTTGAATAAGTGAGGGAGGTCAGAGAAGTTCATTGCAACCAACTCTCACAGACTAAAGAGTCTTCGTACTCTTTGAGCTCAAAGAAACCCTAAGCTTACTTTCCCGAGTTTTGCGGCCTTTCACATAAGTTCAAAGCCTGTTTTTAAAGTTTGCCGTCTCAAGACGAAGTCACACCCACCACTGAGTGAGTCCCTGTGTCCACAGATCATTTTACTGGTGAGAAGCCCATAAGTTACACATCAGTGCCAAGTTTGGGACTCACCGAGGACTCAGCTTCTCTGGAACACTGATGCTAGAAAGTGAAGAGGATCACTGTTGCTTGGGAAGTTTGTGCATTAGTGAAGGGTGTACCTGACCCCAGGCCTCACAGAGTAGGGATCAGTGTGCGGCCTGTGTGCATGCGATCTCTACCTGGAATTCCTCCCACCTATTCTTCAAATCCTGTTCTCTGTGGCCCAGTCAGCAGTAGGCCACACTACACATTAACATTTAGCAGTATAGCTGCATATGGGACCAGCTTCTCACTAAACTTCTGTGACCTTCTCACAAAAGTTACACATCATTTTTGTGTCTTTGGGGCTTGACATAGTGAATTTCCCTTTACTGTTGCTGTGGTGACTTCCTTATCTCAGGGATAGAGGCTTGTCACAGATGCACAGTGCCAGAACTTGGAGATGCCCCTAGACTAGTCCTGTCACTTTATTTTTTATAAGATTTATTTTTGTTTATGCAAATAAACTGGCGTGTAGGCCAGAGGTATGGGGAAGATGAGAAGGAGTCACCAGAGATGGAGTTGGGAGCAGAATAGCTGAATCCATTGAAATACACTGTTAGGGGAGCAACAGGTGAGACAGGAGAGGTCTGCTGTGCCATGTGATTCCCCGGCCAGGAATCACTGCGGGGGAACTCATGCGGCAATGGCTGGTAATAGCTTGATAGCGCTGAGATTTTTAACCCCATGCCACCAGG